CCCCCCCTTTCCCCCTTCCGAGATATTACCTTTCTTCTGCTTTTCTTTTCATCTGCCTTGTCCATGCTTATTGTTTTATTGCCCTGTCTATTATTTCTTCAGTAAATCAGGGAGCCCTCTCTGTCTTTCTTTTTCTGTACTTCCATTTTGTGCATCATCTTTCCTTACCATTCTCGTTCATTCCTTCAACATAGCTGGTGTGTGGTTTGAGGGCTTCACTGGAATGTCCTACTTTAAAAAAATATTTTTACTATCAGTTGTTTCTATCATGTCATCCCCTCCCCCCATCCCCACTGTAGGAAATAACCTATATAGTCAGGTTTGCTTCTCTTTATTTGATGTATGCGACTGAAGACTTTTGTGTGTTTTTTTTCATTAGAAGATGGCAGTCTCCGCACCCTCAACCATTATTCTCAAAGAGCTAAACCTGAGGTGAAAATAGGAAAGAAGAGATCACTTCTGGAGGCTTTGGAAAGTATGGAGGTGAATGGATGCCTTTAAACATTGAAAATATGTAGAAAAATATATTTATGAAGGGCTTTCGATGTTTTATGTTGTCTCTATTTATAATCCCTCATATACATTGGTTGTAGGGAGGGTCCATTGGAATAGTTCCTCCTTCATGGATCGCTCAAGTTTTGTTTTCTGGAAATATAAAAAATTTTTGTCGTATTGGAATACAAAGTATTTTGTTTTGTTCTAGATCGAATAAGTATGCTTTTGTCAAGTATTTTCAAAAATTTTTTGTTATGTTCTCCAGCCTCAGGTTCAATCCGAGTCTTCGTCCAGGGAACCTTTGCCCACATCACAGGTGAGGGGTGTCGAGTATGTCACTGGTTCGAGTAGTGCACTTGTCTCTGCCTAAGGCATGGTTTTGCTTTTGATTTGAACAGTATGACTGTGTTTTATGAGTTTTGTCATTTTCAGCCTTACATGGTCTTTTTTTTTAGAGGTGGAAGAAAAATGGTAATCATTTGCATTTATGTTGTGGACATCCCTATTTGACAGTTGTTGCTGTACCCATTAATTATTTGACATGCCCTTTGATATCCTGGAATATTCTCAGCTTCTTAAGTCTAGGGGTGGTTGCCGAGTGCTCTGGGGCGGTTGCTTCTTTTTTCCTATCAAACATCCATTGTCCTTTTCTCTCTTTCTTTTCTTTTTATAATACTCTCTAATCTTCGGCACTTGTATGATCTATTTGTTTTGCAGTGCTGTAAACTCTAACTAAAGCTAAAGCTGAACTGGAAAGCTTTCAGGGGAAGCTGCCAATTTACAGACATTTAAACACTAGTATACTGATGTATTTTTGAAAAAGTAAATGAAAGACTAATAGTTTTACGAGTTTAGAAATGGTATTTATATTATTTTCTTTATATGAATCTCAATGTTGTCTGTGCGTGAAAGGAAATTGGTGAAATGTGACATATTTTGAAAGAAAAGCTTTCTTTCCTTTCCAGATTCCGTCCTATCAGCCACCAAAGAAAAAGTTGCCTGGGAAGCAAAAGAAAATCAGAATCAAAGTAAGACATTTTACAGATGGATCAAAGTGCGGTCAGATCTGATTGCGGCCAGTTCCTACAATTACCCTTCCCTGTTGCTTAACAATAACATATATGCTTTTCTCAAAGTGACTTCGTCTTAGGTCATTGAACCTTTCAAATCTTCTTTCATGGGTCTACTCTGCGAAGCTGGTGTCAGTTTCAGCATGTGTTATTTCGAGTAACTACAAGGTGGCTCTTGATTTTTTGAGGTGGGCTGTTTTGGCCCTTTGTGTTTTGTAGACTTAGGAATATTTTCAGTTTAGAAGGTAACTCTGTGAATTGTATATGTCACATTTCCAGGAAAGGGAAGCAAAGCCCAGGAAAGGGAAGCAAAGCTACAAATAAGGTGGTTTACCTTTATTCGCAAGAAATTACAGCAAATTGATTACTTGGAATGAATGAAGAATTAATTTGTCTAACTGATCTAGAATTTGCAAATGCAGAATTTGTTTACTGTACATGCAAGCCACGATATGTTAGAATGCTGTCTTCTTCTTCATTTTTATTCTTTTATTTGTTGACGCAGAACATCAGTGAGTGGTTTGTTGGTGCTCTGGTGTTATATACTCCTTCTTTACATCGAACATCAAATTTGGTGTTTGTTACTCTCGTGTAACACATAATCTTCGGCATTAATATGACCCAATTGTTTTGCAAGTGCCATGAAACTTTCTAAAACACAAACATCTCAAATGCGACAGTCCATAGAACCTGTGTTAAAAGGGCACTGGATCTGGCTATGTTACTTCTCTGGGTTTTGTCTCGTATTCGACATTCCTCAAGTGGACGTTCTTTTGGTCATGAATGCTCTGATGTGGTTTGCTCTTTTTTTCTTTTCATCCTATCAAACGTCCATCATCCTTATCTCTCCTTCTTTCTTTTGTATATTACTCTCTAGTAACTTATATAACCTGTTTGTGTTGCAAGTGCCACAAAACAACTCTTATTAAAACAAAAACAAAAACTAGGCTTTTTGTGTATATTATGTACATTCAGCCACTTTTGACTTCTCCTGAGCTTATTCTGTTATCTAAAATCTTTGTTCACAGGACATGAAGCCCAAAGTCCTTGTTACAATGGCAGGGGAGAATAGCAACCAGCCGACACTCCAGCAAATGAAAAGGAAAATGTCTTTGGAGTCGTCTCAGAACTATTTAGTAGAGGTAATCATTTGATGTTAGTGGACTTGTGTAGAAAATCTTTATGTTCTGCTTTTCATATTTTTGCTGGTGTTAACAAGTTATATAACTATCTAGAAAGTAAGGTGGATTAAGAAGAGGAGCAGGATTTTCGGGAGGTAAAAAAATTAAATAATAATGTCTTTTAACAGACAATCGTCGTTTCAGAGGAAATGTCTCTGATGTCAATACCTGTATTTTTTTTTGCTTACCGTCTAGAGCAGGGGTCACCAAACTACGGTCTATTGGCCAGATCAGGTCAGTTATCTGGCCCGACTCCATGCTACCATGTGGTAGAAAAACTACTTTTTAGTAGATGCTTTTGTAGCATGTGTAATACTTGGTCATGGGAATAATTTTATCATACTGTGCAAATGAATGTGCTTTTATAGATTTCATAACTTCTTGCTAACGTGTTGCACTTTTGCTCGGCTTCAATGTGAAAAATTTCTCATTTTACTCATTTTCTACAGCAAACTGGGATCCCCCATTTTTCCCCAGTTGCACACACAGGAGAATTTTATGCTTGTAGTTTCACTTCCAGTAATAGTTGCTGCATGTTGACTTTTTGGTAAATAATGGCAGACATGTATTTATAACCAGTAACATTCTTAGAGATTGTAATATGTCTGTCTTGCTTGTTCCCTTCTTTCAGGTAAAGGCTGCCACAACCACTGAAGCATACAAACGTTTTTCTGATGCTTTAGTGAAGTACAAGACCAATCACCAAATTATGGATGTCCTCCCGGTGCTGGCTGATGTTTTCACCAGCTCAGAACAGAACTATCACCTCTTCCAAAGTAGGCAGACTTACCTTTTTCTTTCACTTGTTCCTTCTTAATAAAGGAGAAAAACCTTTCGTAAAGAAATAATTAATGGACCATTAAATTTTGAGTTTTTGAGCTTTGAGTTTGAATAAAAAGTAGCACATCGACACAATAATGGTCATTAAGCGTTTGGAAAAGTAAGACAGACCGACAAACAGAAACAGCAGAGGGAAAGTAAAGAAGTAGGACCTACCAGTGGAGCCCTACAGACATCTAATTAATTTTGAAAGAAGTTGAAGCTGTCATGCAGAAAATGAGACAAGGAAAAGCTTTAGTGCCAGATACTATTATAATTGTAGTGAATGTCACACTAGAAAAATCAGATCCAGAAACTGGAATAAGAACTAAGCCCATAAATTCTATGTGAATGGTTAGACTCCAGATGATTTGGTGAAGTCTGTTTTTATAGCTTTGTCCTAATTACTAGTTGCCACACAATGTGAGTTGCATTGAACAAAAAACCTTTTGTGTCACATTTAGAAAATTTCACATTAGGGCTCTAGGAATAAATAAGAAAAAGTTTATGACAAGAGATGTCTAAAAACATTTTGGCTTTGTTCCTGACAAGGGTAGGCAACCTGCAATGCTTTATAAAATATTAATGGAAACTACAAAATGTGGTTGGGTTTTTTTTGTGCACTGAAAATAAAGGAAAGGTTTTCAAATTGCTGTTTTCACCAAAAAATTCTGCGTAATTAGTGATGCATGTAATCTTTCTTTTTTTTTCCCCTTCATTTTAGACTGCATTTGGGTTATACTTTTTCCTTCAATGAAAAGGATTTTTTGTGCTTCCTTGTTTTAGCAAGATGAACTTTTGAAATTGTTGTTATGCGTTTGTCATTTAACTTAAGTTTTTTGGCGTATTTTCAGAGTTCTTCCGTTTTGTCCGAAGTGAAGATAAGCCACATTATGCCAAAGTCTGCCTGGATCTGACTGGACTGGTTTGTGAGCAGAGCAGCCGAACTACATCTGCCACCAATCAAGACCTTCGTGCAACAACTTCAACCAGTGATTATCCTAGTGTTTAGTGTTTTATTTACTGATGGTCTGCTTTTTCTCTGCTGGTTATTTTGTGTACACTGTACGAGTAAATCTTATTTTGGGGTCAACAGCCTGTTTCCCTCTTTCATTGCTTGATATACACAGTTAAGAAACTACAGTTTATTAGAATAGTTTAAGGTTGGTTAAATCAATACTTCCGAATGCAAGGTTCCAGAAATTTTATTTTGGCTCACATAGACTGATTGCTTTGTTTTCCAATTTACGCTGCAGGATACATTATTTTGAGGCCTTTCCAAGCAATTCTGTAGAAACTTCAAATAAAGATAGAAGTAATCAGGTTTTCTTTTGTATCCTTTTTCTTCTAAATGAACTGGAACCTAAAAAAAAAGAAATTCTCTGTCAGCAACCCTAATCAGGCTCCGAAATTGAAAGTATGATTTAAGTTGAACAATTCTTTTTGCTATTAGAACAAACAGACTCAAATTATTTCCAACACATAGGCTTAGAAGAATTAAAGGTTAGAATTGTTTTGTTTTGGCGTCTGCATGGTTTTAAAAGACGGGATAAGTTTAGAAATGGCAAAACTTTGTTAGTATTAACTTGCTCTTATTCATTTCGTAACCGTCATGGTGAAAACATTCTGAAAATATTGTCGTTTGTATATTGCCTACATAGTGCAGACTGTTGTGGAGGTTGCTGGTCATATGTGGCTGGCATGGCATCATTGGGTCATAAAGCATTTCTGTTGAAATAAATTAAAAATACAAGGAATCAACATCATTCGTAGTTTTTTTTCCTGCCCTACCTATCCTCACCCTATGTTAATGATTAGATTGAAGAGTGGTCCTTATTGTCTTTATTATAAGCTATTTAATCTTTTGTACGATATTCCCTTCTATAGCTACGGTTCCATTGTCAAATTGTGATTAATTTAAATTTACGATGAGAACAGTTCATAATTCTGTTTTATGGGTGTGTTGTGCTTCGTTTTGAACACCATCTGTCATTTTGTAATTGTTGTCCTTGGTGTGTTGCTGCTTGTGAACACTGTTGGTGTTGTCTTTGGTGTGTTGCTGCTTGTGAACACTGTTGGTGTTGTCTTTGGTGTGTTGCTGCTTGTGAACACTGTTGGTGTTGTCTTTGGTGTGTTGCTGCTTGTGAACACTGTTGGTGTTGTCCTTGGTGTGTTGCTGCTTGTGAACACTGTTGGTGTTGTCTTTGGTGTGTTGCTGCTTGTGAACACTGTTGGTGTTGTCTTTGGTGTGTTGCTGCTTGTGAACACTGTTGGTGTTGCCTTTGGTTAAATCTTTAAAGACCAATGGCAGTATTCTTTTGAATCTGTAAGTTTTTCATCCTGAATTTGAATATCGTTTGTGATGTGGGCAGCTTTATTCTTATATATTTTGTTTTTATTAACAGATCAGGGATCAAGCAGCAGACTGACTCAAGAGAATGGGGAAAAGACCAAAGAAGCCAACAAGGAATCTTGTCAGGACACACCGAAAAATGCCTCAGGTTCAGGTGAGTCAATTTTTAGCTCAGCATCATGGGGCAGAAGGAACTCTTTGTTCATGTGACATATTGCCTTGGTTTGTGTAGCTGTCTTTGAAGACATGCTTCCACTCAGTAAACGTCACATCTACATGGGAATATCTGGTTGAGGAAGACCACCTCCTGAGATTTTTGTGTGTCTCATACATTACGTTATGACTGCATTATTAAACCACTTGTGAGTGTTGGGATTTGTTTTGATTTCAATATACTGTATCAGTACCGCACTGGCAGGAAATATGTTTTTCATATAAGTTTAGGTCAATTATTATTGGGAGACGGGGTCAAGTGGTCTCAGCAATCACCAAAGTTTTCAAATGTTCTCAGCCAAAAATTTTGAAATTTTTTTTATTGTCGTGTATTAATCTGTGGTATCGGTTGCATGTATTTGTGGAATATTTTGTAGAAATTTAGATACTGAACGTTGAGAATCAACCAAAAAGTATAATTTTGTAAACCCACGGTCCATCATACACGCTACTGAAATAACATTATCCGTGATCTGCCTGTCTGGAAATATATTTTTTATGACCACCGCATGACTACGCAGTACGGCTGCGGAGTCTATCCTACACCTGCGGGCGCAGATGATAGTCTATACCTTGGGGACATTTGCAATGTTCTTTCCCTTCCCTTTACTTTAAAATGTGCAAAATGCATGTGCACATTTACAGGTAAAGACCAGCCCATGGATCAGATTAAAGAGATAATAATTTATTGCACTTTCAAGAAGAGCCTAGTGCTGAGCAGAAGAAGATGATTTTATGATGGGCTATTACACAAGTCATGTGCACTTACCTAGTAAGATAAAACCATGATTAAAGGAAAAGATGCCGAATCATCGTCACGTCACATAATTTATGCAGTTTAGTTACACGTTCTAGAATTTCTTCATTGGGTGGAGTTTGAAATTTTTGCCTAGGGAATTGACAACGGATTTCCTCCTTGAGGCATGTTTGACTGGACGTTGAGAAAAGCCTTGTTGCCCCTCTTTTGAGGAGGAATGATTGTTTGGCAGGTTGTCTTGTATGGCTGTCCTTTCCCTTTATTTCACACTCTGGCATACCTGTTTTATTACCATATTGTTTTAAATTTGTCTGTACCATGCCTGTCACAATTACCTAATGGCGGTGACATTTTAAGAAATTGAAAGATGTCACAATGTTTGGTGCCCGTACCTTTTGCTACAGCTTGAGTCTTTGATTTGGTAACTTTTGGAAACACATTTTGCAGCTTTTTACTGGCAAGAAGTTAATAAATCTGATTGTGTGCATGTGAGTGTGTGAAAGACAAAAAATGAGTGTCCTTGTGCGTGTTCCAAAAGGGCAAGGAAAAAAAGGCGGACTGAGACATTTTTTTAAAGCATCGCTCTCAATTTTTTTTTACCATACTGGCAACAAATACAGAGGAATGTAGTTACATGAATACTTTTTCAACACATGCCTGATATGAGTAGAATGGAATGAAAATTATCAAGAGTTGCAGTTTGACAATATATGTATTAAACTGGTAAAGCAGTGTCTAGTTATACTAATAAAATGCACCACCATTTTGCTAGCTCCTTCCGAGCCCACAGCTGTGTGTGGCTGAACCTGCACATACAGCTAACATCTCAACCAAACCATGTTGGTGGGTGGTCGGCGGGTGCTCTGGTGTTGTTTGCTTCTTCTTTCCTATCAAACATCTATCGTCCTTATCTCCCCTTCTTTTTTACATTTGTTACTCTCTTTTAACACGCCTCTAATCTTCTGGCGCTCATACGACCTTATGCAGTTGCGAGTGGCGTAAAACCTTACTAAAACTAAAGATCCATGTTGATAATGGAATAAATCAAATGTGTAAGGGAAACAAACAATGTGCTTAGCCACACACCTCATTAAAAAAAAAATCTCTTTATGAAGTAGATAAAGCCTTTACCTTTCTTTTGGTACCGTTTTGTAGTGTGGGTACAATTTTGAAAAGTAAGAAACATTGTTTTTCTCACTCCTCAAAAGTAATGCTTTCTGGGCTTGAAATATTTGGACAGCCTGCTGCAACAATGTAAGTCATCTAACCATAGCATTTTCTGTCACTTGACCCATGAGCAGTGTACCCCTGCAATAGTTTAGGTCTCTGGATTAGGTTATCAAATGTCAGTGTACAATTAATTGTTCCAAAATAAAACAGCCGACCTGCCAACTCTTTCAATCCCAACCAGTAACTTTCAGAAAGTAAAACAAAGTCTTCATTTATCTGTTAATTATCTAAAATTGTAAATGTTTCAATGAGAAGATGTGAACTCCTCTTGAAAAATAAAGACAGAAACAAATGAATAGTTTTTGTCTTATGATATTGTGGTGAAAGGAAAAGATGCACTCCAGGCGTATAGCGTTTGTATCTTATGGAGAGGTTTCAGCATGTATCCTTGTTAAATTGGCAGACTGCAGGAGCTATCGGCCTCACTATATGGATAAAGTTCGCATTGACGTCGTGAATGAAAAGGCAGATGGGAGTATAGTGGTTAATTCAACCGAGTCTCAGCAGTTCAGATCTGGAGCCCAGGCTAGTAGCAGTAAATACAAGGCGCTATTGTGGGACTCCCAGCAACCTCCACCTTTCAAACATGATCTCAGGCCCGTCTGGGATGAGTTGACCAAGACGGGTGTACTGGATCCAGAGGACGGGATTTTCACGAGAGATATGTTTGTTATACCCTCCACATGGACCGAAGCTCGAAACTCTGGGAAAGGAACATTTGCTTCTCTACCTTCAGGTTAGGACTTTTGGTTGGTCGGCTCAAAAACAGAACTAATTATTTTGATTAATTGACATCATTTTCCTTTGTCATTATCTGTGAATTTTATTTGGGAAAACCCAATTGAGAGCTAGAAACACAGCCACTGCCTTACACACTGAAAGCTTTATCCCTTAAGCTACCACACACTGTGGTTTATAACTTTGTCAGGATGGTTAGATTATGAAATTAGCTGTGCATGGGTGCAGGTTAAGCCACTCAGAGCAGTAAGCTTGGAAGGAATAAATAGCATAATGTTGGTGTAGTATAACTAGCAATATCCCACTATAGTGGATTTTTTATTGAGATCTGGAAGGGTGTAGGAAAGACCCTGAAGCTGCGCTGCATGGCCATGAAGTAGTCATGAAGCAAAAACTCTGAGACAAGCTGCTCAGCAGACTGTGTGTCAGGACATTTTTTACAGCGTGAATATTACGGACTATGAGTTTATGACATTAAGAAAAAACTTTTTTTCAACATTTAGAATTTGAATTTTGACAAAATATTTATTTACCGCATGCAACTGACACAACAGTTAAAGAAACTGCAATAAAAGTTAATTTTAAAAGATTTGGCACAGGACAATTGAAAATTGGTGATGATTGCTGAGATGACTTGATCAATTTATATGCAATGTGTAGGTGCATGTACATGAATATTTGATGACAGTTTTTCTCATGTGTTTCACTGTATATTGCTTTCGGCAAAAAGGTAGTATCTTTATGTTTTTTTAATGCAAAAGATTCTTTAAAATATTGTTAACTCATTCAATGCTGAGCGCCCAACAGTGAACTCCCCTCATGTACTGGACAGTTTTGTTATGTCAACCTGAAATTAGGTCTACCCAGGAAAATCAATCAAAATTAGCAGGTTCAATGGCTGTTCGAGCAGAAAAAAAATGTCTCCTTGACCTTTCCCATTATGCATCAGGTTTAGTTCAAATAACTTGGTACGGTATAGATGAGATAGAGTCATTCTTTCTACAAAGATAGCGAGGCAGAATGCGAGAATACTCCTCGCTACTTTGTGGGCGGGGCCCAGCTTTCGTGAGTATTCTCATCCGTAGCACTGAATGAGTTAATCTTTATCTGTTGCAGAAGCAGACTTTTCCACTTGTCGGATATGTCACAAGAAGCCCGAACAAGGACTGAGGCATGAGTGTGGAGCTGTGTGCTGCTTTATGTGCTGGAAAACAGCTGTGTTTGATGTGAGTGATCCATTCTGAAGTAGATGCACCTCTACTTGAGATGAAAGTGGTTTTTTATTTGCTGGTACTTCTGCAGTGTGCTGAAATTACTGAAAATGTTCTGAGGAGGAGTTTGCTGTCAAGAGGTGTCAGATTAACTAAGTTTTGTGCCTTTCTTACAGAAAGGTTGGAGATAAACTTACAGTTCAGAGAAAAACGATTTGGGTCATTCACTGTTGTTGAGATGAATCCTTTTGATCGCAATAATGTAGTCTTGAGCCTTTTGGCTTTCACATAAGCATTTCCAGTTTTATAGACTATCTGTGAAATGTGTCCATCTTTTTTTTTAAGTCAAGAAAAGGGGTGTTTAATTAAAAGTTTTAACATTTTCTAACACTGTTCTCTGGGTGTCAGAAACCTTGATTTAATAATAATAGCATTTGTATAGCGCAAATCATCGCTCAACAGCAAGTTCTATGCGCTTCACAATCTATACTATTACCCCAGCAAACCTGAGAGCATTCTGAAACAACCTCAACTTCTTGGGAAGCATACAGTGCAAGCAGCCATTTATAAGCGCTAAAACACTAACATATTGACAAGATCTTCCGCTGTCTATGGCCGGGTACCCATTCCCACCTGGTTGAAGTGAGGAAAATTCGTGTAAAGTGCCTTTCCCAAGTACACAACTTCGGGCCCGCGGCTCTAACCCTTGAACCCGCAATCTCACGATTACGAGTCCGGTAGCCTAACCACTAGGCCACCGATGCCACTATATGTAGCAGATTTAAGCAATTTTAATCTGCTGGTTGCTATGTAAACACACTGCATGCCAGGTGGACAATAAGTTTAGAATGACCCAAGTGACGTAGAACATGGCACTGTAAATGGAGGAAATGCTATGCAATAATAAGCATTGAATGAAGGCAAACAGTTTAAGGCCTCATGTCACAAAAATGTCTTTTAGTTCTGAATTTTATTTTCATCGTGTTCACATCCTGGTTAGGTCCAGAAATCTTTAAACCTCGGTGACGCTTAAAAAATATAAATGTAGTCATTCTTCTCTGTCAGCTGTCAATGTTAAAGTTATAGTGCTTTCATTACTTCCAAACAGTCCATAAAACATTAAATACATCTGTGAGGGTCGAGTATGGAAAACCGCTTTGATATTGGAAAATACGTATTGTCTGTTTATTAGTATTGCCCTCATGGACTTGCTGATGCTAAAGAAAAATTATGAACTTTCAAAACTGGATTTGTAATAAGAATGAAGCCCATAAGTGAGGTGGAAAGATGTTTTGCTACCGCTTTGAATAGCTTAAATTCATTAAATGTAGAAAAGTGTGTGAATAGTTTAGAGTTTAGAAGGGGATAGGGCGGGGGTGTGTGTTTATTTCATCTATGTCTATCTTCTTGATCTGTCGAGTGGGTAGAGTCAGTTTTTTGGTTTTGAAAAATTGACAAGTATGCACTTATTTATACTTTTTTTATAGTTGTGTGTCCATGTGAAGTCTGTTATATGACTTTTCAATTGCTCACTTGGATGGCTTGTTCATTCAGGTTACGTTTTCAGTCCCTTTGGGAGACTGACACTAAGAGCATTGTGGCTTGTTATGTGCATGCTTTTATCTTTCTCGTATTCTCTCTCCACCAATTGATGAGTATCTCTTTATTTGAACAATCACTTTCTTCCCAGGGCCCGGAAGACCGCAGATGCCCATACCCTCCTTGCACAGGGCGGGTGAAGAGGAAACATTTACAGATTGTAGCCGCAGACCAGGGTGTGTCATGATCCTCACTGAAGTGGAACGTCAAGAGCTTTTGTTTTCAAGGATGAATACATATTAATTCACTGAACGGTACCCCTATAACATTTGTTTTCTTCATACACTGACAGTATCCAAACCCTGACGAACCAGTGCTGGTTTTTGGGGAATAGATTGGGAAGCCAAACAATTTTTTTATATGACTATCTAAAAATCTAAACGTGTCTGTCTTTAGCAGTCAATTCATGAAATGTTGTTAGTTGATCCTGTCTGGAGGAATTCCAACAAACGTCCTAGATCAGTTGTTGGCTCATGAGTATCAGTGTTTAGTGTTTTGAAAAGGATGGCAACTACTGATTCAGACATAGAACATAAGTCAACTGATAGAAATAGTATTGAAAACGTTTGCACTTGTCTTGTCTTTGTTACTTTTTAAAACATTACTTATTTATGAAGTGTCTGTGTAGCTTTATTACCCTTTTCTTTGGACCCTGAAGTCTGTCATCTCTGTGCTTGTATGCCATTATGTCATTCGCCAAGCTCAGGACACGTCCAGATTCCTTCTGATACATCGTTACCTGTGCAGTGTACACATTGAAAAGCCTTGGAGAGAGGGGGATCCTTGGGGCAGTCCTGGAGCAATTGATACCGGATCTGAAGTCCATTCACCCTGTCTCAGAGCCATTTTTCTCTCCACTAGGGCTACTGCTACCCATCTCACCTGCCATATGTCCACATCAAATCCAGGAGGCGGTCGATCAAACGTTCATAGTTGACTCGGTTGTTAGCATCCTCAAGGTCAAGTGCCGTCACAACTGTTTCCTTCCGCTGCTGAAAGCCTTCTTAGATGTCGTACGCCATGACAGCTGCATTCACTGCACTTTCTCGATGGGGTCTAAAGCTTCAAAGCTCATTTGTCAACAAGGACTTCTCTAAGTGTGCTGATATTGTCCGGCAACTATCTTTTCCAGAATTTTCCCATAGGTATTCTGCATAGCTATGATCCTGTAACCACTGAGAGCTGTGCAGTCTTTTCCTGGTTTGGGGATTCGTATCAACCAGCTGTACAACCTTTCTTCAGGGATTTTACCAGTGCCAATGCTCATATTGAAGTCTTTTGAACTTTTGTCATTTCTTCAATCATCTCATCGTCTGCTTCTTTCATGTGGCAATATCTTACACCATCGGGCCCTCCAGCACTGTCTTTGGCATGTTTTACTGTTCTGGAAACCTTTTCTTCAGATGTTTTGCATTAATGTAACTGTAGCCTACCTTCTTTTCTTTTGTCAAGATAAAAACCAATTGATCATTCTGTGTATGTGTCATGCATATAATTCGAACTTTTGGTTATTTGTTTGTTGAAATAAAACTCGGCCTTATGCAAAGAAAACAAAAACAAAACTGTGACAAAGCTGTACCTGTACCCGTGGGCGTGGGCGCAGTTACACACAATTTGCAACCGACCACCCCATGACCCTGCGTCGTCGAGCAGCGCAACGAAGGGTGGGGGCGGAGAGGATGGCGGGGTAACAAAAGTGGGACTCACGAAGTGGCATTGATATGATACTGTTCTGTTTTAGGCATACAACGAGCCCGAGGCTTAGTGTTCCTCGAGCGCTCGCTGGCTCGCGATTCTTTGAAGCCGACTGAATGGCGAATCGCCTCTCTCAGATTTGGCGAGCAAGATCCAGCTCTACCATATAAAAGTCTGATTCATGTGTTAATATCACATTTGGGGGCGTGTCAAAAGAAATAGAAATAATTTTTTCACAAAGTTGCATGGCTGTATGATAAGTTCTATTTTTTTCATTTTTGCAAAACAGCTAATCGTAATTGATAAAGGCAGCAGCAGTGTTTTAAAGTGCTCTTTATGAAAACATTGAAGTTTTTCCCCCTTTGCATGTTACTAGGGGTATGAAGCTTACTGTGAAGAATGGGTCAATGACATCAGCTGTTATAATATAATTCTTTCTTGTTCTAATGTTCTTCTAATCAAGCCTGCCATGCTGTATGTGAAAGTGGTGCTGATGGGTCCAGGATAAACAACTCGCACCAGGTTCATTGAATCCACAAATCTCAGTCTTGATTTATGATTGCTATGACAAGTCTACCGTAATGAGTTTGCCTCACAGAAAGGTGATGGTAACTCATGATGAAGTTTCTTTGTCCTATATTTAGGAATACTCTCCAGTGTGTAAGGCAAATGAAGTTTTTCAGTAACTTATTGTACATTAGATTTTTTCTTGTATTTAATTCTCGCTGAATGCGAAGAAGCCTGTGATATTCATTGACATGCTTAAGTTGTTCCATAATAACACTTTGACAGTGTAAAACAGTCCCTCTCTGGGATCATTTTTCTGGGAACTGGGGATGGTGACAGGTCATGGGGTTTGCCATTTTTATCATGTATTGTCTTGGGCACCGGAGGATGAGAGGACTGATGAAAGTTAGTGAGCTGGGTGTGTATTTATGTTTGATAGAGAGGGTTTCTTCTGTAAAATTAAAAACCTTTTTGAATTCAAAGATCATCTAATTGATTTGA